CAAGCTGTTCGCAAATAACCGGCTACCGATGACCACTGAAAAACGACATCACCTGTCACCACCACTTACCAGCCAACGACAACCATTGCATACAAATATTATTGTCAGAATAAGGTTGCTATGTCTAACACTTGGATTTTCATTTTGTTGTATAAAGACGTGTAGTTCTAGTTTGAGAATCCAATTTCATTTCTCCTTGTCGTAAGAGAAGAGACCACCCTTGCATTTAAAAACACAGAGTGCATTACTTTCATTGGGCAAGCCTCATGATTTTTTCTCTTTGAGAGGCCAAGGCCATTTTCCTACTCGTCATAGTTTCCAAGAGTGTTCACATTTGACCGATATAGTCCGATATAGTCCTCCAACTCCTAATTCCAACATGATTCAAACTTCCAAGCATTGACTCTCATAATGGGACGTCGAGCCTATATGAACACCTTGATCATTATAGAATTGTCATGCAACTACAATGACCAATTAATGCACTTTTCTACCAAGTATTTTCTACCTCCCCTAATGGTTAGACATGTACACAGTTCTATTCACTCTCAGATGAACTATTCATAACTTCGATGACCTTGTCAAACCCCTTGCGAAACATTTTATATCAAATCAAATAATTATAATAATTATCAAATCATATATATATTAATTATACATATACAATATGTGAATAATTAAATTTAAAAAAATTATGCCAATAATATTTGATAATGGCACTTGGAACTTAAATTCGTCTATTTCTTTAAAGAACTACTTAATTTATTCATGCATTATATACATGATGAATAAATTGATGAAAAAACATTAGATAATTGACTCTCTTGATTGATTAAATTTTTTAGTTGAAATGAGTTTGATTATTAATGCCTATAACTCAATTTAATCGCTTTCGATGTAAGCTTTAGAGTTATGGTTTAATGGCCATGATTAATTTTAAAATTGTGTATATTTGATTCATTTAGTTTGAATTGATTCATGCATTGGCAAAGTCTAAATTGTTCGAGATTCATTTGCATGTTTTCTTAAGATCTCCAAGGCTGTTTAGCTAAATTTGTTTGCTTTTGGTGTTGATTTAAGTGTGTTATACTTAATATAACCTTAATGGACCACTATTAAGTCATTAGCTATTATTGGATTAAAGTTAAACTTTGATTATTTGAATTTATTTAATTGACTAACATGATAACCTAATAAAATGATTAGCTTGATATGGCTTCATTTGGATTAATTCTTAAACATTAATGTCTTTAGATTAATAAGCATTGATAAATATGGCCTAATTGAACTTAATTTGAGTTATTTTTTTCACTTAGCTTATATTGTTTTATTTTTAGTTACTCTTTTAGCTTTATTATAAGCAAATTTGTATATAAATTAATGTCATGTTATGTTTTTTCATTATTTCATTTTTTTTTTTAATTATAAAAGCATGCCAGAAGGAAATCCCAATGAAGCAAATTTTATATTATATTCATTACTATATGAACACTATCATTGCCATGTCCGAAGTTTTGGATACGAAAAGTGAAAGGTTATGTTAGGTAATAGACTAGAACATGAATCCTTTAATTTA